CCAGATGTGGCAGGTGTGAAACTCATCTTGACAGCCTGATGATCGATGAACGATTTTGGGCTAGTTATTAAATCATGAACTGACTGTCTCGTCACAATGCAACGTAAATAATGACAGTGACGGCGTTTCGACATCTGATATTAGATAGCATAGACTTTTACGATTTGATTTATTCGTTTTCTCGTTATTTTTAGTTGCGATTGGGAAGATACACAAACACTCAAGACAGTGTTTGATGACATTTCCAGACACCCTAGAAGGTCTTAAAAATACTCCGCTACGCGTCGTATTTCAACTCTATTCTCGGTGTTTGGAAATGTGCAGTGATCAAACACGGTCTTCCGCGTTTAATACATTTTGCCTGTCTGTCAGTCTGTTGTCTGTCTGACTGACTGACTGACTGCCTTTGTCTGACTGCCTCTGTGTTCGTCTGTCTGTTTCTCTATCTGTTTGCTCGTTTACTAGTTGCTTTGTTTCTCTCAAATATTCGGGTTTCCAGATGCGCCGGTGATTCACAGTCTCTCGTTCTACATAAACAAATAAATTACTTCAACATGTAACTTGCAACCAAGGTATAACTTACCGCATAACCCAGGGTCGATGTACACGTCGTCAATTGCAATATCTGAGTATCCTGGCTGACCAATTTTCCCTTGTATGGTGAGCTATAAACAAATATTTTAAAAAATATCATATTTCATTGCGAAAACTAGCTGTTAATTCCTGAAAAAAAAAAAAAAAACACAGACAGACCTTATTTGCAAAACATATTGGAAGGTGGGGAAAAAAGAACAGTTAGTTTCGTAACGATATGAATAACTAAGTAGCGGTCATTAGCTTCTGATATATAATGGATTTGTGCAGAATTGAAATTTCAGTAATCAGAAAATTTCTTCTCGGTTTTTGACGTAATTTAATTTTGGTTGATCATGCAATTTTTTCTTTCTTTCTTTTTTTCAAGAAGCACTCTCACGGTATTTTGGCCACATACGAAATTAGCTTCGAATCGAAGGAAACCTGAAAATAATAATTCGCTAAGATAGAAAAGCTCAAAAGACATACTAATAAACCATAAAAGAACAAGTATGGCTAGGATGGAGAAGATTAACACAGACAGAAAACTTGTTTTCGTCAAGTTTTGAAACGACATAACATCATATCGATTAAGGAATACTGAAAATAAATTGGCTCTTCCACAGCCCCGCACCAATTATTTGAAGAACAGTTTCTCTTACAGCGGAGCCAGGTTGTGAAACAGCCTATCCAGTGACCTTCGTGCAGCAACATCTTCACTTGATTTTAAACTTAACGTACGTCACCACGGGTTTGAATGAGTTATAACACGGCATCTTTGTAAAGCAGCTTTTAGTATGTAGTTTAGGTTAGTTCGTAGGGATGATTAGTTGATCTTTTATCATTTTATAAGGGTTAGGGTTAGGGTTATAATCTTTACTAAAGGGTTTACCGTGTATAGATAAAGTTACCATTACCGGCATCATCATTACAATTACCATTACCAAGTCTAGCAACCAGTGCCCCCCTCCCCCGCGCCCCACGTAGCTCAAGGTCTGGATCCGCCACTGGCAAACTATTAGATTTTATAATTTATAAACTTAAATATTACATACACCGATTTGTCACTGTTTTGTACGTGTTGTTTATGGAGATAGTCGCCAGATTCTATTGTAACTTCATTACAAACTAACATTCCCTTACAAGTCGTGCAAGCACTTGTAAAAATTCATTTCGTTGCAACAGGCTATTCAAAATATAGAAACCACACGTTTGTAAGATCTGGAAGCCCCTACCCGCAGACAAATGTACAAGATATCTGAAACACCAAATAGGTAAGTTTATGAAAGAGACATTTAACAAATAATATTTCCCTTCTTATATTTATAACAAGCTAGATAGTGGAAGTCAAGAATACCCTGTATGACACGCCCAGAGGTACATCAATGTTGCCGGTCCCCTTCTTCCAATGAATGCCTTGGTTTCCGTTTTTGTATAAAATAAACCAACTTTTGCCATTCGATAAGTCCATTTTTATTGCCAGGCTACCCATTGTTTTACCGTACATGGTGTAGTACAACTTCAGACACTCTCCTCCGCTCTTCGCTGCTATCCACGGGCTCACTAGGTCTGCTNATTAGATTTTATAATTTATAAACTTAAATATTACATATACCGATTTCTCACTGTTTTGTACGTGTTTTTTACGAGTCGTGCAAGCACGTGTGAAAATTCATTTTGTTACAACAGGCTATTCAAAATATAGAAACCATACGTTTGTAAGATCCAGTAGCCCCTACCCGCAGACAAATGTAAGATATATGAAATACCAAATACGTAAGTTTATGAAAGAGACATTTAACAAATAATGTTTCCTTTCTTATATTTATAACAAGTTAGATAGTGGAAGTCAAGAATACCCTGTATGACACGCCCAGAGGTACATCAATGTTGCCGGTCCCCTTCTTCCAATGAATGCCTTGGTTTCCGTTTTTGTATAAAATAAACCAACTTTTGCCATTCGATAAGTCCATTTTTATTGCCAGGCTACCCATTGTTTTACCGTACATGGTGTAGTACAACTTCAGACACTCTCCTCCGCTCTTCGCTGCTATCCACGGGCTCACTAGGTCTGCTGTTTGACCAGATGTGGTTCCCGACGATTCCACGTATAGGTAATATCCTGAGGAAA